AAGTCATATTTCAGACGCATGAGCAGCAGCCGTTAATGCACCACATCATTTTCCGAGCCTAGGAAGGATTCTTGCATCGCTTCTGAAGGACCTGACTCGGAGGGACTTGTCCTACCAAGGAAATGTCCTCGACATTGAGAAACACCACGTGTCAGATTTATTTAGTTATTTTGGGGAGGTCGAGATAAATCATATTGTTTGGTGGATGCAGTTTCAAATCAAATCAAATCAAATCAAGTTTTATTTATAAAGCACATTTAAAAGCGATTTTTGGTCGAGCCAAAGTGCTGTACATGTAATAAAAACACATTACTACAATCACAATAAAAGACAATAAATTACAACAGATATATATAAAAAAATAAAAATAAATAAAACACAAGGAAAAGTCAGGAGTCGTGCTCCGCTCTAACTAGAAGGCCAGAGAGAAGAAGTGTGTTTTTAGTATAGATTTAAAAACCCCTAGGGTCTGGGCCGACCTCACATGGAGGGGCAGAGTGTTCCAGAGCCTAGGGCCAGCTGCTGCGAAGGCTCGGTGCCCTCGGGTTTTAAGCCTGGTCTTGGGCACTACCAGCAGCAGCTGGTCAGCAGACCTTAAAGCTCTGGCTGGGGTGTAGCGCTGGAGGAGTTCGGCTATATAGGCCGGAGCCAGCCCATTTAGTGCTTTGAAAACAAATAAAAGGATTTTAAAATCAATTCTGAATCGAACTGGAAGCCAGAATTGGGGTGATGTGGTCACGCTTTTTGTGGCCAGTCAGCAAACGTGCAGCTGCGTTTTGGACTAGCTGCAGGCGTTTAATTGAGGCCTGGTCCATACCCACATACAGAGCGTTGCAATAGTCCAGTCTTGAGGTTACAAAGGCGTTAATAACCCTTTCTAAATCATTAAAAGATAAATACGACTTGGTTTTGGCCAATAGTCTTATTTTCAAAAAGCAGGATTTGACTACGGTGCTGACCTGCTTGTCGAATTTAAAAGTGCTAGTGAAGGTCACTCCAAGGTTCATGACCGAGGGGAGGATGTTTTTTTTGAGAGAGCCCAGAATATCAACCGGAGAGGCTGGAGGTTGGGGTCCAAAAAAGATGACCTCAGTCTTGCTCTCGTTGAGGTTGAGAAAGTTTTTGCTCAGCCAGGATTTTATCTCTGTTAAGCAGTCCATCAACTGCTGTAGTGAGTGTTTGACATTTGCTTTGAGAGGCAGATATATCTGTACATCGTCGGCGTAGCAGTGGAAGGGAATATTATGTTTAGTGAGAATTGAACCTCGGGGCAGTATGTACAGTAGAAAAAGGATGGGGCCCATAATCGAGCCTTGGGGAACACCACAGGTAAGAGGGGCTTTGGCAGAGGAGAAGGCACCTAGCTGTACTGAGAAGCTACGGTATGTCAGGTAGGACCTGAACCATGCAAGGGCAGAGCCTGTGATGCCAGCGGACTGTTCAAGCCGTGACAACAGGATGCTATGGTCCACAGTGTCAAAGGCAGCTGTCAGGTCTAACAGCACCAAGACAGCTGGGCTACCTGAGTCGGCGGCTAGGAGCAGATCATTAAAAACTCTTAAAAGGGCTGTTTCAGTGCTGTGCATGGGTTTGAAGCCAGACTGAAACTTTTCATAGATTCCATGCATGGTTAAAAAAGACTGCAGCTGGGCGTAGACTACTCGCTCCAGGGCTTTAGATAAAAAAGGTAGCTGGGAGATGGGCCTAAAATTTGCAAGAATGGAGGGGTCGAGATTTTTCTTTTTAAGTAGTGGCTTAACCACGGCATGTTTGAAGGCAACTGGGACACATCCTGAGCTAAGAGAGGTGTTTAAAAGTAATAAAATACTTGCTCCAACTGAATCAAAAACATCTCTGAGAAGGCGAGAGGGAATGCTGTCTGAGGTGCAGTTTGTCGGCCACAGGTGCTTGACTACATCCGAGAGAGAAGAGAGGGATACAGGCTCAAAGTGGTCGAGGACAGCAGGGCACAGAAAAGGAGCAGGATCTGGGGTAGCACTAGAGTGGGCTAGCCTAAGAGCAGATACTTTTCCAATAAAAAATGTAAGAAACTTATCACAGAGAGTAGTCGATGGCACAATAGAAGAAACATCACAGGGATTAATGATAGAGTTGAGGACATTAAAAAGAACCTGAGGTTTATGGCTGTTTTTGGAGATTAACAGAGAAATGTGCTCTGTTTTGGCTGCTTTGACTGCCGTCTGGTAGTCAGAAAGGCAAGCACGAAGGATTTCTAGGGAGACATGGAGTTTATCCTTTTTCCATTTTCTCTCTGCACGCCTGCAAGCGCGTCTGAGAGCACGAGTACAGTCATTGAGCCACAGCTCTGATAGAACTTTGGTGCGTCTAAGCGTAAAAGGAGCAACAGAATCCAGTATTAGTGTGCATGTCGAGTCAAACATGGAGATAAGCTCATCAGCATTAAAAGCACAGTTCACATCTAATTTACAGATCGGAGAAGCATTAAAAACATCAGAGAACTGTGAGGCAGTCAAGGGGTTAATCGAACGCAGACGACGCGCAGGGGCACATGATTCGACTCCTGCGGAAGGGATGGTGGTTGTAAACAGAATCGGTAAATGGTCTGAGATACGCGTTGCTGCACATATTTCATCCACAGATACAGACAGTCCAAACGATAATACTAAGTCCAAAGTGTGTCCTTTTTCGTGTGTTGGGCCAGCCACGGACTGAACGAGACCAAAAGAATCAAGGAGATTTAAAAAGTCCCTAACCAGAGGTTTGGACTCGCAACACACATGGACATTGAAGTCTCCGGAGATCAAAACACGATCATATTTCACCGTTTTTGTGCGTTGTGCATACGCATGGGTCAGAGTTTGCGTGGAGGACCGCACATTTTCCCGCCAAGTTTGTTTATTATAAATCGCAAACATTGCGTAGAAACTGGCGTACGCCATCTTTTGAGCGTACGCACTGTTTTTAAATGAGGCCCCAGACCTGTTCTTTCTTTAGTAGTTTTTGTTGGAACGGTGCAACAGATTCAATCATTTGAAGTATATGGAGTTTCACGATGTATCACCCCCTCTAAACTTGGTAGAGCCCAAAGGAGCCAGAATAGCTGTTCAACAGCACAATCCTTATTGGGGAAGAAATAAAATAATCAGGCTTTCTGTTAGACCCCAAGCCTGTTTTTCAGGTTTCAGGCTCGAAAATGACATGCCCAGAACAAATGACTATAACTTCACTTCTAAAAGGGTTAAATTAATCATCTTTTTTCTCAAAGCAAGGTTACATCTGTCAGATGGATGTAGAAGTGTCAGAATCAATATAGATGTTTCTGTGTCAGAGTGAATTCAGATGGAACATAGTAAAAAAGTGTAAATTCTTACCTCCGCCTAACAAAAAACCATTACTTATAGTGAAAACCACCCTTGAATGATGGGTTAGTAGGCTAAAAGCTTTAGGAATCAAAATTATAACATATAATAAGTACCCTGTATCAAGATTGAGGCAAAACAAGTGAAAATTGACCTTTTTAGAGAGATTTAGGGAAAAAAATTCCAGGCGGAATAAGCTTTGGGCACATTTGGGCACATCTGGTTCCATCAGTGCCATTTGACCTTTTTCAGGTACCAGACTGTAAAAATCATTTTATAACATTGAATCATCACTATAGTTATTCATTCCATAAAAAAAAAATAAAAAAAAAAAAAAATAAATTATTGTAAAATTTAACCTGCTAATTATTGTCATGGATTTGACAACTGATGTTGTTTATTTGCTATGTTCTGGCTGCTAGCTCAGTGAGTTCTGGCCGTGCAGTGATGACCTATGCCAATGGAATCTGTGGAATCTCAGCTTTCAGATGATATGTTGTTTGTGCAGAAAGTATAATTATAAATGATAATTTTTGTGAGTTATGAGCAGAAATAGCATTAGTCCGTATTTGCTAAGGGCTCATTGAAAGGCTTCTTGTGGGAATTATTATTATTTATTTTTTATTTTTTTTCGTATAGTCAGTTAGCTGAGTTTCTTCCCGTCAGCTGGGTGTGGAACATTAATAGTTTCATAAATGACACTTCAGAGATCACACTGGTGCTAGCAGATGTAGCATTTTCGGACCCTTCGGAGGGTCCTTGGGGTTTAACAGGTTAAGCTTTTGTGAAATATGAAGAGATAAAGAAGAGCTCTTCAAAACAACACCAATCCTGCTCTGATGTCTTTCAAGGAGTAATATGAAAAATATAAATGCAAAAAGAACTGCCATAACATTATTTTTATATAAAATACTTAAATCTTTGAACAATCTTAGCCCATATTATCCCAAATTAATACATTTTCAATTTCAGAGTTATTTTTAAACGTATTGTAGCTGTTGTTATTCTGGGTACTGAATCTTAGGGGGATCTTTTTAATTCACTGTCTGGTATATTTCTATGATTATGAAGGATTTAGCACCACCCCAACATTTAAACCAGGAAAATAGCATTTATACAAAATAGCTACAGTTCCTGATACTGATTAACACTTTACTGTTATGGTATATATTAAAGTAAAGCAATAGCTTTAGATCATCAAAATCTGTTTGAAAATCTGTTGGCTAAAGAAAAAGATTCACGAATGGATTCACAAAGAGAAACAAGAGATGGCTCAGATACTACGGAGGAAGCCTGACAATTTTTTCAATTAAAATGTTATAATGCTTTAATCGTATAGCTACATAACCATGTCATTTCAAAATGTCAAAATTCTACAAACTATTGTTAGCACTGATTGAGAAACAGAACACTAATTTGTAAAATGTTTTTACTATCTCATATAGGTAAATTCTGTATTGCAATCTAATGTTATTCAGCCTTGAAGGGGCCCTATGATGCCCTATTATGAGTGTTACTTGACTACAAATAGTAGAGGCACAACATACAAATATCAACCTGAAACTGAGCATTATAGGGCCCCTTTAAGATATATGCGACAAGTGGACCATTGTTTTAAAGAGGGATTCAGTGTGAAGTAATTATAAATGTATGTTGCAGGCTGTTGTTCTGGTGATTGCTTACTCAGGACACAACCTGGTAAGAAAAAAAAGGGTATGGATTCTCCCTGCAAAGCCACTGAAGGAAAATGTAGACTACACCAGAAAGGAATTTATTGCCAAGGTGAGTCACTGATTATTTAAACCCATATATTCTGTAACAGACAAAGAAGGAACTATTTAACCACTAACAGCAATCATTTAGTGAGCAGGTGTTGTCGTCTGCAAATGTCCTTTGAGTGTGTTTCTCTGATGCAGTGAAATCACCATCTTCCTGTTTTGTGTTTCAGATTCGGTCAGATTTTGAAACTGAGGGACTTCAGTACTCTCTAGAAGGCATTGGTGCAAATAAATATCCCTTCAATGTGTTTGTTGTCGACCCTCATACTGGATTCATTCGTGTGACCAGACAACTCGACAGGGAAGAAATCGATACATACAATGTGAGTGATGTTCTGTGCTTTTTGACCTGAATGCCACTGTATTAGATTCTGAATAAGTGATTAAAGACATTTTTTTTTTTTTTTCAGCTGTCAGGTATTGCTACGTTCACTAATGGCAGTCAAGCAGAGAAAACAATTGACTTACGAATCAAAGTTATCGATGAGAACGACAACGCTCCAGTGTTTGCAGTCATGGAGGCCGGGAAGGTGAAAGAGCTCAGTCCTCGAGGCAAGTGTTTCTGCTTTTGTGTGCAAATCCAGATTCTTCCATCAATGTAATCCTACAGTTACTTTATAAATACAACAAAACATTCTGGTTTTATAAATACGAGATTATCTATTTTCTTGCCTTATTTTCACTAAGCTGCTTAATTTAACATACTTATTTATTTTTTACATTTCATTTTGCCGACGCTTTTATCCAAGCTGGTCACTAAGGCCAAGACATCGACCTGCTCTCTCGACCCCATGCCCACAGCCTTGGTCAAGGCAGCTCTATCCACCATCTGCCCCATCATTGTTGACATAGTGAACTTGTCCCTGTCTTCTGGCACAGTCTCACCCTGCCTCAAAACTGCCTCAGTCTCTCCAATCCTGAAGAAGCCTGGCTTGGACCCGGAGGACCTCAACAACCACCGGCCGATCTCAAACCTCCCATTCCTGAGCAAGATCTTGGAAAGAGCAGTTGCCGCACAACTGCAACACCACATGACATTTCATGAGCTCTACGAACCCCTCCAGTCTGGCTTCAGACCCCATCACAGTACTGAGACTGCCCTCATTAAAATCACTAATGACCTCCTCATCGCATCTGATTCTGGCCTCATCAGTATTCTCATCCTCCTGGACCTCTCCGCTGCCTTTGACACAATATCCCATAGCATCCTCCTCAGCCGCCTGTCAGACTACCTTGGCCTCAGTCACACAGCTCTTGCCTGGTTCGAGTCCTACCTCTCTAACAGGACTCACTTCGTTACCATCAGTGACTGCAGCTCCCCTCCGGCCCCAGTTAACCTGTTCCACTCTGAGCCTGTTTTTCAGGTCTCAGGCTTGAAAATGACATTCCCAGAACAAATGACCATATCTTCCCTTCTAAAAGGGTTAAATTAATAATCTTTGTTCTCAAAGTAATGATAAACCTGTGAGTTGGATGTAGAAGTGTCAGAATCAATATAAATGTTTTTTATTTTAAAGAAAATTCAGATTTTACATAGTAAAAAACTGTAAATTATAGTGTCCGTCCAAAAATTATTTTTTACAGATAGTGAAAACTACCCTTGGATGATGGGTTAGTAGACTAAAGCTAAAGCTTTAGGAATCCAAAGTACAACATATAATAAGTACCCTGTATCAAGATTGATGCAAAACAAGTGAAATTTGACCTTTTTAGAGAGATTTAGCCAAAAACTGGGCCATCTGGGGTCATTTGGGTGGATTTGACCTATCTCTGGCCCCCCTTGCTCGATTTGGTTGGTTGACATACCCTTGTGACCGTTAGAGCCAATAGAATCGAAGGGGGAGGCTCCCACCCACACACGTAAAGAAAAAATGTGGGCGCTTCGCGTGTGGAAAACGAAACCAAAGTGGAGGAATGTCTCCTTCTGGAGTTTGGAAACTAAAACGCAGTTGTATTGCTTATGGATTATCAGAAATAATTTCAAAGAAGGCACAGACACATAGGATGAACCTATGGATTAACTGCAGCATCGTTTTTTTATCGTTTTAATGCCATTGAAGACCACTTTTGACCAAGGTAAGCCATATTTACGTGTTTAGCTTCTTAGCTCCACATGTGATGATGTACGCTTTCGTTTATAGCGTCGCGAATGTTTATCACTGAGTGTTGAGGTTTTTTACACAGATTCAGTGTCTCCAGGACACCAAAAACGAGTGGTTGGCTGTGCATCTAGGATAAGTAATAAGGGAGTTATGAGTGAGTTTAAGTGCCTTTGTAAGTTCCGTTTTTTCGATCGAGGCTAATTCAGAGGCTGAGTGCTAGCATTGTGGGGTTTTTTTGAAAAAAAAAATTAAAAAGATCAGTTAGCTGAGTTTCTTCCCGTTACATGGATATAACACATTCATAGTTTTATTCAATATTAAGATTCCTTAGACGTTGTTTCCTGCAAATGACGCGTTTATCCGCCCGGTACCGGGGGGAAGGTGTGAAACAGGTTAACCAAGGTGTACCTCAAGGCTCTGTGCTTGGACCCCTCCTATTCACCATCTACATGCTCCCACTTGGTCAAATCACCCGCCAACATGGTCTCAGCTTTTACTCGTATGCCGATGACACACAGCTCTATTTCTGCACCAAACCGTCCACACAGCTCCCACCTCTTTCCCTGGTCAACTGCCTCCAGGACATCAAAAACTGGATGTCATCAAACCTGCTAAAAATAAACAGCAACAAAACTGAGCTCATCATTGTGGCTCCCAAGGCGCAGCTCCAGAAGGTTGGTGACCTGCTTCTCACCATTGACGGCTGCTCCATCCCCCCGTTCACTGAAGTCCGCAACCTGGGAGTCATCCTGGACTCCACCCTCTCTTTCCAGGCGCATATCAAATCCATGACCAAATCCGCCTTCTACCATCTCTAAAACATTGCCAGACTCCACCCCTCACTCTCTGACTCTGTGGCAGAAACACTCATACACGCCTTCATCACATCCCGTCTGGACTACTGCAATGGAGTCCTGTCCGGGGTTCCCAGCAAAACCCTGGCCAGGCTCCAATATGTCCAGAACTCTGCCGCCAGGCTTCTCACCCACACTAAGCCATGGCAACATATCACCCCCACCCTCATCCACCTCCACTGGCTGCCGGTCAAGTCCCGGATTCACTATAAAACACTCCTCCTCACGTACAAGTCCCTCCATACCCTCGCCCCCCAGTACTTAACAGACCTCCTACATCCCTACACCCCCTCTCGGAGTCTGCGGTCCTCAGACACGGGCCTGCTCTCCATCCCCCGCTCTCGCCTTCGTACTGTGGGTGACAGGGCGTTCAGTGTTGCGGCCCCCACCCTCTGGAATGCACTTCCTCCCGAGATCCGGAACGCTGCCTCACTGGACATCTTCAAATCCTCACTAAAAACGCACCTGTTCACCATGGCCTTCGGACCCTAGTCCTTTCCTGGTCCCCTGGCTTCCTTTATTTTATTTTTATTTTTTTCTTGTTTTGTTCGCTCCTCATTGTCTGTTTTGTTTTGTCTGTCCACCATGTACAGCGACCTTGGGTCCCGTGAAAGGCGCTTTATAAATTCAATTTATTATTATTATTATTATTATCCAAAGCCACTAACAATAAGCGCAAAAACCATAAAGATTCAAACTCAGAAGAACAAGGAAAGTGCAGATATATTCATTTCAAGCTTGTCATCCCATTGTAAGTGCTGGTGAATTTGTAAAAAGGCCTAAATGATTATTATTTGTATTTATTTTCTCAAGAATTGAATAGCCAAGGCACAATCTAAACAGATGCATTGTCAGTTTGTGAAGGTATACAGATATAATAATAATAATAATAATAATAATCCTTATATTTATTATAGCGCTTTTTCAATGACTCTCAAAGCGCTCCTTACAAATACACATTACACATACATATCATACATACATGTAATGGTCATGTAGCACTCTAGAAAGGACTCCACCCAGCGGATTCCAACCAAAAACCCAGCGTTTACCAGTGGCTGGGATTTTAAAGCCCTCCCACTATTTTCTGAGAGGGCGTTGCCAGATTTCCCCATTTGTTCAATTTCAGGATTTAACCATCAGAGGGCGCTTCATTCACAAATACACAAAGACAACTGGGTGAACTTTGGTATTCAGTTTGTTTCCTGGACTTTCAGTACTTCAGTAATGTTTGCAGATCTGCAGCTGTGTTTGCTGAAGAGCATTTAAACACATATTGGTTACGGTTTTCACAGACTACTATAACGAAAAAATATCAATATTTTAGATCAAATAAAGTATATCTAATCTTATTATCTTAATTGTAATTCAATAATATATAGTCTTTATATATTAAATAATCATAATAATAATGTAAATGTTTACACTTCTTTAATTTGTTATGCTCATACTTTTACCTTTACAATAGTTTGCTTTAATATGCAGTATATTTTTTGTAATATTGTTGTGGTGTTTTTACACAGTACAGTAGATCAAAGTAAATCCACTTATACATTATCATGTATTATATTGTGTTGTATTATTAAGTAATATCATACATTAACCCCATTATAGCAGATGCCACATTGAATGGATGAACACATTTATGCATCAATAATTACAACGGAGTATTTCTAAATATATACTTATATGTATTTAATACTAATAACATAATGATTCATTTTACTTTCAGATGATAATACTTTTCACTTGGGCAATTGACAATTTACTTCTAACACATATTTTTACCTAGGTAAATAATCGGAATACTTCTTCCACCTCTGATTTTGGACCCTGTCACGGACCGTCTCCACAGCAGCGTTAAAAAAATCTTGGAGGTGGGCGTATCTGAGGCTTGGGGATTTTTTTGCGATCAACCAATCACATGAATCTCCCGCCCGCGACATACGAAGCCAAAAAGCCCGAAGTAAACTGGATATAAACTCCCCAAAACAGGCGAAAACATACCACTGTCTCTGCCACCTCCCTCCATGCCTGGCTCCTCCGGTTTATATCCCGGTAGGTCTGGTCATAAAGCACCGGGTGATTGATTCGCTACCGCTAATTTCTCCTCCATTTTTTGGAATATGAGGAAATGATCTGCGGTATGTCTCTCCCAGCATACACGCCGTTTGATTGGCTAGAGCTTGAACTGCCAGATTTGCGTACACAGGATTTGATTGGCTGCCGCTTCCACCTCAGCTTCAAAAGTTGAACATTGTTCAACTTTGAATCTTGAAAATCCTGAGAATCTCCGCTCGCCTGCCCACAATGCATTTCGGCGAAAAGTGAGGGAAAGTGACGTCACCCCATTCAAAGTGAATGGGCAGAAGCGTTTCAAGATTTTTTAACGCTGCTGTGGAGACGGCCCGTCACTGTTTTTAAAACTTTAATTAAATGTTTGATATTTCCAGAGACCCTTTCAGACCACTGCTGGAGAACAGAGGGGGGATGGGAGAGTTTTGTCACATTCCAATGGGCCATTACTAGAGATTTGAAACAAAGATGGTCACAGCCCTGTGTTGACCACCCCTGACACACCGAGCCGATTTTGCCCGTCGATAGATGTCTGGCCGCCGATGAGCGTCCTGTCGCCCTACTCAGATTGGTGTGTCCTGCACCGTCATGTCTTTTCGGCCGTGCCGACACCTTCCGCTGTCGGGGGTGGGGGGTGGTGAACGGTACATGGTCAATGTTTGTTTAAAAATGTTTGCAGTCGCGAAAGCTCTAAGCCAATCGGACATGGACAAAAAAAAGGACCAGTCTATGTGTCGAGGGGGAACTAGACACCCCTCTTTACAGCCGCATGGTTTGGTCTGACAGTGCTCGGCAGAGAGGAAGAGAAGATCACTAACAAAGTCAAAAATCGTACATCCAAAACGGAATAAATATAATAATAATAATAATTATTATTAATACGTTAAGTCTTGTTCATTGTTTTTCACTTTTATTAAATGTTTGATATTGCCGGCACAGACCCTTTCATACCGGCAATGTGCGATAGAAACAACAGGAACTGCGACAGCATAAATATGCAAACACAAACCTACAGTTAAACTTTACTGCTGGAGAAAAGAGATCACAGGGGGGTTGGGAGATCACAGGGGGGGTGGGAGAGCTGTGGCTGATGGCCCATTAGGTGTGTAAACAAAGAGAGTCACACACAGCCCCCGCTGATCAGCTGATCACCTGTGAGCTGCCGAGTTTCATAAAGACTATTTAAAAAAACAACGGTCTAATTTGATTATTGCACAAGAATGAACTCAATGTGTGATTGTTATAGCAGTAATATTAAACAGTAATAATACAGTAACCTATTAGAGGTCCCATGTCATGGCCATTTCTACTGATCATAATTCCATTGTTGAGGTCTACTAAAATAGATTTATATTGTGCAATTTTCCAAACTCACATTGGTTTCTCATACAGCATCTCTGTAAAGTATGTGTATTCACCGGTATTCACTCTGTCCTAAACGGCTTGTTGGAGCTCCTGCCCCCCCTCCCTGTGAGCCCAGTGTGCTCTGATTGGTCGGGACGTTGAGAGGCTCGTTGCTGCAAAGCCTGTCCGCTCCTCGCAGCAGATCGCAGCAACGAGCCTCTCAGCGATACAGCGAGAACAAGCTAAATTCATCCTGAGCACACACAAACACTCACAGCCGAAGTAAAAACAATAAGTGTGGCTTGATATTGAGTAAGAAAAAGGTTTATAACGCTGTGAGAATGGGTCTGCGAAGAGCATTTCTCCGCGATCCCAACGTAGCACCCCGAAAAACGTTTACCCATTTAAACAGTCGTGGTAGATACCTTGTTTGTTTTAAACATCATAAATACACAAACAACAATGAATACTTACAGGTTGTGTACCCGAATCTCCCGCTGGTCCAAACAAAGTAGGAACAGCATCGTTCTTCAGTGCCCTACGCTGTACATATCCGGCATGAATCGCTGAAAGGTTTGTGAAGCTTTGTTTCGTGAAATGCTCGCAGAGGGTGTGGCCTCTGGGCAGGGGCGGACTGGGACTACAAATCAGCCCGGGACTCTCGACCGGCCCACTTCGGTACCGCAAATAAATTGTCGACGGGGGGGGGGGGGGGCGGTGCTAGTGACTTATCCGACCGGCCCACATCGTCCGACCGGCCAACTTCAGTACCGGCCCATCGGGATTCCTCCCGAACGTCCCGATGGCCAGTCCGCCCCTGCCTCTGGGTATTCCCACGTCAGAGTACCCAGGAAGAAAATGAGAAATCTCCAACGAGGCGTTTTGGGGAGGTCTTTTCTGTGTTAGAGTTTTACTCGCTACAGGGTGTACTTTGAGGGTTTTTGACTCTGCAGACCGTTTACATGCATAAAAACCTTCATAACACACAAGGGGACAGGTAATAACCGGAAAAGCATGACATGGGACCTTTAACACTGTAAATATTCTTGTTTGCCCGTGGTGAGATGACGAGGCTCCATTAAAAATAAACCTCTTTTTAGTGAATTACTCAGTTTAGGCAAGTTAATAAAGTTTTAATGAAGTTGACTACAGCAAATTCATATTTGTTAGTGCTTTCATGTCAATTCGGCGAACATATGATACATTAAATGATCGTGAGGATGATGTTTGTTTGAGCCGGGCTGCATTTCCTGATGAAAAAACAAACCGATTTTGTAGTTGTAGTATGCCAACGTGGATTAAACAACATTATTTAGTTAAATGAAAACATGGTGATGTTTTGTAAATGATTGCATGTCTCTTATTTAGCACAGAATATGATCCTATCCGTGACATATGGATCTTAACAAAGATCCGCTATAGTAATCAGACATAAATCTATCAGCTGTTTATTTCACATGAGTTCCAGTGTGGCAGCTTTTTAATCACTGCTCCCCCTGGTGGATCCATGATCCATTGCAGCTGGTTTCATTATAATTTATCAAGGGGGCGTATCAAGTCATGCGGGGGGTTTTCCTTTCTGCGAGGATCGACTCCGTGCCGACCACGGCCCCACTGCGGTAGGGACATTAGAAATTAGGTGCTACATCTGTATATGCAGAGTTCCTGCTGCTGAATGACGCGAGTAAACACAGCTGACACAGCTGAAACTCGAGTGATTAGAACGATGCGAATATTCCCAACGCTTCCGGTGTGAACGCAGCATTAGAACTAGTATAACAAGGGTAAAAAGCTGTCAAATCTGGTAAACAATTTGACATGTCTCAGGTTTAAGTCATTATTCATGGTAATTGTGATGGAAAAGCTGTCATCAATATTGGGCAATTTATCACACTGAGGCTGCTTTTACACGGGAACGTTTGCGTTTATGCACAGTATGCGTTTTCAAAAAAGTCTTCCGTTCACATGCATTCTCTTCATTTAACGTGTCTGTTCAAACGAGACCGCTGGGAACGCTGTAGTACATATGCCGGGACTGTAAGTGGCGCTGTAACTTCCGCCACAAAATACACCAAAAGCAGCGAAGAAGACCCCGGAGCAGCCCAGAGCAATGTTGCCATGGCTACCCTTCTGTTTACGCCCCGCGGTGGATTTAGCAACATGTAGTGGTTCATGTAATTCTCCATGTCCACTTGTTGCTGATGGTTGTGGTAGAGGAGCTGTAGATTTTGCACTAACATCTGTAGCATGGTCGAGCTGTAGATGTTGTACTAACATCTGTAGCATGGTCAGTAGCAGTAGCACTAGCAGTAGCTACTGACAGTAGCTACTGGCCATGCTACAGCAGTGAGCAGCAGAGGCGGGGAGAGGTGGGGCTATCGTTATTTTTTCAGGAAATATTCGTATAGAGGCGATTACATGGACTCGTTTGACCCCCCAGAGAGTTTCGTTTGCAAATCTATCCACCTTGGGACCCGTTATCGTTTGTGGGGTCCGTTTGTTACGGCCTCATGTAAATAATAGGGCTATACGTAAGAGAAACTATGCAGATACAAGCCGTTTCGTTCTCGTGTAAATGTGGCCTGAGGCCCAGGCCCCACGGGAACGAAAACGGGTTGTATCCGCATATTTCTCTTGCGTATAGCCCTTTTTGCCACACGACGCCGTAACGGAACGGTAGAAACGGACCCTGCAAACGACAACGGGTCCAAAGGTGGATAGATCTGGGAACGGAGCGCTCTGGGGGGTCCAACGGGGCCGTGTGGTAGCCTATACGGTCATCCTTTTCTGATAATGACGACGCAATAGCCCCGCCTCTCCCCACCTCTGCTGCTCACCCCCGCAAAAGTACACTGCACACTGAATTCAGATTAGTTATCTTTATCTCGATATGGACATAAACGCGAGTGAAGTCTAATCTGACAGGACGGAGACACGCAGCTCCTCCCGCTGTGATGCAGCGGGAGCAAAACACACACTTCAAGTCAGATCATCACCCTTAGCTATTTTAATTACCTCTCTAACTACCTAAACTAGTTATAAATATGTTTATTTTTATTGTCGGGTTTACTTACTGGATCAGCTGCTGCATGAGACAGACACTGACGCTGTCAGAAGAGAGGAAAAAGAGACAGGCTCCGTGTATTTTATTATTATATATCATTATATAGAGTCGTTATTCATTTGTTTTAAAGCTCAATAAATAACAAAGAAGACCTTTGACCGGCACTTTTATAATTTTGTCCGGAAGATTTCAACTTTAACACACGTTGACCGGCGAAAAACTCTGCCCGGTTCCCTCTGCCCCCACCAAGGAGAATAAACAGAAGTGCAGCCATGACAACCATTCTTCTTCGCTGCTTTTGTGGAGGAAGTTGCTGCTTTTGTGGAGGAAGTTACAGCGCCACATACAGGCTCGGCATATGTACTGCAGCTTTTCCAGCGGTTGGATCTAAACGGAGCTGTCTCGTGTGGCAAGACACTATCCGGTGTATATTGCGTGTGGACGGAAGCTTTTTGGCGATTGCGTTTGCGTTAATCCTATGCGTTTTGCCGAATGTGTTCCCGTGGGGCCGGGGCCTAAGACACCCTGTCCGCACCGTGCAGCTGCCTCAGCTATAATACACTTGATGTCTTTTAATATAAAACGTTGTGCAATATACATGCAAGTGCAATATAACCTCCTGCAATTTCACGTTTATTACCATGGTGTACATATCTGCTTTTTGTTTTTTACTTATTGTATTATTATGTGTACATGTGTACATACTGTACTTAAACATTTAAAAATCCACCATCTGCTATTGTAATCATGTTAGATTCCCTGTTGCAGGTCAAATAAAGGATTTCTGATTCTGATTCACTATTCACATGAGTCTGAGTGTTTTCTGATCTTTCTGACCAGTGTGCAATGTGATGCATTTAGTTTTCTTTCATCAGAGCACAGACGTCTGAACATAGCCAAATGTGTACATTTGTAATGACTGTTTCATTAAATAATGTTTTACAGGGACTTCAGTCATGAAAATAACTGCAACTGATGCTGATGAACCAGGAAATATAAACTCTCAGATCGCCTATACCATCGTAGATCAACAACCACCCGGTGACATGTTTTCCATTTCCAAAGATGGGATCGTACGCGTCAAAAGTTCTGCCCTGGACAGAGAGGTACAGTGTGAACTACATCCACAGGGCCAGTCTCAATCGCAGAGGCTTACAAATACTAATCTATGGAGCTAGATTTGTCTCAATAATTATATTTGTGGGTACAAATATCCAACAATGGCCGATTGAAACACGTAGATAAAATGAGTGTAAAATGCTTAGAATCTAAATTCTAAAAATAGAAAACTGCCTTAATGTAAATTACAATGGCAGACTTGTCCCGAAGAGTTGACATGACACTTTGATTATCTGACATAGATTGCCGCTGTAGTTCACCTAAATATAATTTGCTTCAGCTGAAACACTTTGGTTTTTCTTTAAAGTCAACTGTCACTGTACATCCAGTGCAATCACAAGATGTCATATGTAACGTAGCCTGACTAACAGGCTGTGTGTTTGAGCCTGCCATTGGCTGCCTTGGACGCAATTTTCCATCCCTTATCCCAGTGGTTCCCAAACTTTATCAGTCAGGCCCCCCTTGGGTAATTGGAAATATTTAATAATCAAACAAGATGTCAAACATTTATCTTGACCTTTCTTTGTTTTCCTTCTCTCTGTTTCTTATCTTGTCCACTGAGCTTAAGACGAGCCTATCAGAGGAACTTTGCCACTAAATTGGCTGAAGCCCAATAGTGGGCTTGTTTTGTCAGGGCCTTCAGTTTCCGAATTATGATGGGTTCAGACCCTTTAAGTGTGGAGATAAGGTCCACTATGTGAGAATGCCTCATGTTTTATGTAGTACTTCACAGCACTGCACATCCTGTAGCTTGATAATTTGCCATCCTATTTAGATTAGTATTGGTAGTTTGATTGAATCTTACAGAGAAGTCCCTGCTCTAACACTTCCTGTTCTATTCCACATTCTTATTTCAGACAGCGGATCAGTACACTCTGACAGTGAAAGGTCAAGACCTGAATGGTTTACCAGGCGGACACAGTGCAACCAGCACTGTTGTCATTAATGTTCAAGATGTTAATGACAACCTTCCCACTCTGGAAAAAATGGAGGTACTTTTCTTTCTCACATTCTCCCTTCTTTATCAACATGTTAAACTGTATGTTGATGTAATAAGTTTAAGGGTTTTAGAGTTAAATGGGTTTAAGGTTTCCTTTAAGGGAAAAAAATGATATATGGAAATGTATTTTCAAAAATGACTGCATCTCACAACGCTTTTTACCTGCAGTATGAAGGCAGCATTGAGGAGAACACGGAGGGTGTGGAGGTGATGAGGATCAGAGCAAAGGACTTGGACCTGGAGGCCTCAGAGAACTGGGAAGCCATGTTTGTCATCGTCAGAGGGAACGAGGCCGGGTACTTCAGCATCAAAACAGACCCCGCGACCAACGAAGGCATCCTGATGCTCGACAAGGTACACAAGTTCAATAAAAAAAAAACACAAGTGTTAGTAAAATGATCATAATAGGAGTAGGTGAGACAAGAACGTTTACGTAGGTACAGTATGAATGGGTCAACTATGAGGGGCCGTGTAGGCCAAAATTCAAACTCACCTCGCCCACACACTACTGAAAACATCGGGCCTTGCACACACACTACTGAAATCCTCTCACATTCACTACTGAACACCTCACACACACACTACTGAAAATTAAGCCTCACACACAGTGGCGGCCGGCCCATAGGGGCGCTAGGGGCGCCGCCCCCCCTCTTCCCACATTAAAAATAAAATAAATAAAAAAATATATATTTAAAAAATATATTTTTTATTTTTATTTTTATTTTTAATAAACAAGGTAAATATTATATAATTGCTATCAGTAAAATGTATAATCTACAATAAAATCTCGTTTAAAATTGTGTTACGATGTCTAAAGTTACTGATAAGTCACAAGTTCCTGCCTGGCCTTGCCCGTGTATCATTACTCCCTCTCGTCTGGGCGCAATGCACAGCGCCCAGATGAGAGGGCAGCAAGTGCAGCAGAAGCCAACTGTTGCTATCTTTAAACTATCCCGCCGAAACATAATTTCAGCCAATCAGCGTCGTCAAATCTGATGGTCACAGGGCTCCTACGTGAGCGCCCGGTGCAGTCTGTGAGTTGTTTGGACTCGTATCCAAGGAGACAAAACAGGAAGCTGTCATACACTCTGGAAGCTACCATTAGCAGCTAATGAAAACTCCGTTTTTGACATAAAAATGGAATTATGGATCATCAATCATTTGTGACAGACACATTGGATTAACCTTCAGCTGCGTTTTTCTCGTTTTTGATCAGAATTGTTATTCTGCAAAAGGTGAGCATATCTCCGTGTTTTGCTACCTAAAGCTACGTCGTGTGATGTCTGTATTTGCTGTCGTGAGTTCTGATCGCTCAGTGATGATACTTATATTTCTAGAATCTGGAATCCCAGCTTGTTAGCACAGTTTATGCTGTAGAAACTATGTCCAGGACAAGGTGTTTGGAAGTTTTGGAAGATTCATAGCTAACCACACTGAAGTTATGGAGGTATTGATCAGTCTTCTCATATTTTTAAGCCTCAAATTGTCCTCGCCCCCCCCCCCCCCCCTCTAACATCACCAGAAGTCATAATTTAGGGGGTCTTTTCTCAAAAAAATGCCCCCTAGTATTGTTTGATCACCATTTCCACAGCCCCACCTAAAATATTTTCCACCAGCCGCCACTGCTCACACATATTACTGGAAATTAACCTCACACACACGCAACTGAAAATTAACCTCACACACACGCAACTGAAAAACATTTTACTGAAAGGTTCTTAGTAGGGAATGTGCATGTGTTTCACCTATGTGTGTGAGAGGGGGATTCTTGCTGTAACGGAAGTCATTGTAATGAAACGGAAGTCATTGTAATGAAACGGAACTAACAAAGAGCAATGCTGCAGTGATACAGTAGGTGGCGATAATGCTCGTCTGTTTGCAAGTCGCCATTAAAGAAGATGAAGAAGAACGAAACGGAAGGTTCAATTCAGTATGGATTTATAGAGAAACGGCACCGCAGCCGTAGGCTGGACCCCGGGCCGAGCGGTCTACAAACTGAGACGGTCTGGTCTATCGAGGTGTTCTTGTTTACATCACCCTGCGCAGCTCGTGAGGTGGCCTAGCAACCCACTAGCAACATGCACAGCTGCAATAAGCTAACAAGCTAACTAAGCCGAAATTGAGCCAGACCCTTTCCTTTTTTTGTTTTACCATTTATTGAAGTGATTGATATTTCAGGCTCAGAGGACAATGGCCAGTTAAATATGGTTGATTAAGCTGCGTACTTCTAGCCAACAGTTGTGTTCGCATTAGTTAGTTAACAGTAAGTAAATATAAGACTGACCTATGTACTCCAGCTAGCCGGCTAACTTACATCTGTTGCTCCCGGTCTGCACGTTTTACGTTGCTTAAGGTAAGTGCACATGAAACTATTCAGCAAAACAATCAATAATAATCTAAGGTATTGAGTTTTGGGATATTACTTACATACAAATCTATGAATGCCTTCAGGTTTCTAAAATGTACAATATGGGGTAAATTCAACAGTGGACCCAGCAAAGATTCACATTTTTGTATGATTTTAGTTATTGATTTGTTGCTGTTACTTAATTATACTTTTAATAAATTCAAGTCAAGCTTAGTTACATGTGATGGTAGCTAGTTAGTGCTCTTACCTGTGTGCCTCCTCCGCAACCAGACTGTATTCAAACTCTTAAGTACCAGTTCTATCTACTTTACACAATTAAAAAGACAAAATCAACTACATTTATTGATATACCAATCTTTATTTTTGGGGCCTCTTCTTCTTTTAAATTAAACTTTCAGACGTGAGATATTGAAATACAGTAATAGTTTTGTCTATTTAAAAAAAACTGAGCCACTCCTTACAGTTAACTTCATATTTCTTATTGTCTAAAGCAGCGGTTTTCAAAGTGTGAGGCGCGCCTCCCCTGGGGGGCGCCAGAGAGCTTCAGGGGAGGCGCAGCGTGAGACAAAAAATAATGAGAAAAAGATGAGTAAAGTGACACTTGCCCACTGTTGGCTGTCTGTGGAGACCGAGTTCCCCCACCTCGCCAAAAAGGCTGTAAAAGTGCTCATTCCCTTCACCTCCACCTACCTGTGTGAGTGGGGTTTTTCCGCATTGACTTTGATCAAAAGCAAGTGCCGGTCAAGGCTGCAGCCAGAGTATGATCTGCGTTTATTCCTGTGTGCATCAAAGACGCAGACTCATTGTTCCCACTAAAGTAGGGGTGAGTTTAATAAGGAGGCAAAGTTGACGTTCAGTGTGTTGCCGGGAGCATATAAGGATGTATCCACGATGTTGAAAATGTTAAAAATTAAAAAAAAAAATGTGTTGAGAACACGGCGTGCGAAAATATACGGGTCGTGCTGCAGCTAGATTTGCCTGTCCTCTGTAAGAAGGTGTCGGCGACTGACATGCAAGGAAGAACGGCTGTCCACAGGCTGTTCCAACTTTAACAACTTTATTAACTTCCAGGGTAGTGAATTGAACATGCAATTGTAATTGGGTGTGTGGTATATTTTCATGCACGCACAGTCGCACACGCATGTTCCACAACACACAAACTGAACAACACTCAATTTTCCGATCGCTACCAGTGTCCTTGCGATCTTGTTATAACAACAAGTGCACGTTACTGATGCAATATGGTTGAGACCATTCGGGCTTATTCTAGTGAGGTGCAAGGAATAGTGGGGGAGTTTTATACAATATGTTTAAAACATAAAGATAAAAAGGTTTAAAAAAGTGATTGTTTAATGTTTTAAGGAGGTGACGCTACTCAGCCAATCAAATCGGTGCAGTCAGTGAGTCAGCACGATAGATTCAAACACATACACAGATACGAGACAAAAGGAGAGAAACAGTCGGAGTAATTTCAAATGGCGGAAGGTAGACAGCAAAACTGAGCATTTAATGACATTTTCTCTCACTGGACCTCTTTGAAATGCAATTGAATACCCCTGCATTATAGCAACAACAACAATAATAATAATAATAATAATAGCAATAATAATTGGGAGGGGGGGGGGGCGCGGCTGTTCTTATGTTCTCTGAGGGGAGGCTCACCTTCCCACACTTTGAAAACCCCTGGTCTAAAGCATTTATTACACACATTTTCCCCTCTCATATTCACGGTGTGGATCAATTGAGACGGCGTGGTGTCCAGAGAGCTGCAGAGACTTTGGGAGAAACCTCAGCGTGACGGATGTCCTGTCTGTGGGTTTGGCTGGAGAGGACTGAGGTGGAGAGGTCTTTCTCTGGGAGGAGGAGCAGGCCTGATGGAGGAGGACCAGGCCTGATGAAGAAACCCCCAAACTGCATCTGTGAGCCCATACTGGGAACAGCTGTCACAAACAAATGATGGTCCTGTTTGAATACACACTATTCAGTGTGCAGATTTTTCTGTTCACAATAAAAGTGTAGTTTCTTAGTGAATGTCTTGTATTGGTCTTTAATCTCATATCAGCTTTTCATTTTCTTCTGGTCCCTCGGAGAAAACGGTGAGGCAGTTGTGTCCTTCAGGTATGTCCTTTCCTAACAGAAATGACAAGACATATCAAACATATTACATTATTGCAGAGTAAGTATGTTATTTATGAAAGAGGTGTGTTTGTTTATTAAGCGGCTGTAGAAATAATATATATATTTATTTTAATGTGTTTTTTAAATTCATCACTTTGTACTACAAAGATAATCAGATTATGAATGAACAGTCTGCAGTTAATCAACATTAAAATATATGTTATTATTAAATAATATTCAACTGTTATCAGAACTTAGTGTAAGTCATGCTGTTCGGTTGTCTCACTACAAGAAGCACTTTTACCACGTCTTTTACAGACAATATGTAGAGACAATTGGTAGTAATTCTCACAATGTAAAATAAGAATTGCCTTAAATTACACACATTGAAATGTGAAAGGTGATTATAGTTGTTACTTTATCTATTTAAACCAGAACGTTTCTCGATTCTTTGTACAGTATGAAAGGAGTCTTTGTACCTTTTGAGTCCATGCTGAAGTTCACTGATGTTAGGAATAGGTCTCTCTCTCGTGGTCAGTATCCTCTGGTCTGTCACAGACTTTTTTTTACATGCAAAATGTCATGTGATAATCGTTTGGTTATCCTTAAAAAAAAAGTGCTGGATATCACAGCCCATACTGTATCTTATCAGTTGGATTGTGTATTATTGTCTAGTTGGGGTCCTTTTTATTTTACTGTTATTTTGGAATCGTTTGTCATGAGACAGTCAATTTAAATATTTGTCCTATGCTATATTCACATTCATTTGTAACACACACGTAAGGGTAAAAGACACACATCTTTAACAAATGTAATGCAATGAATAAGCTTAATTGTCACAGAAGCACACATAACGTCATATCTAATATTTAAACAAATCATGTCCTTGTCCCTAAAGCATTGACTACGCTTTCGTCCTTAAATGCAGGCATTAAGCTACATGTTCACGTTCTGCTGCCACAATAAGTCGGTTTCTCCAGTGTATTGATAATGCTTAGTAAGTATTGGTAATAATATTAATAAAAACAACAACGTTTGGGTTCGTTCGTTTAATATGATGAACGTTAACCAGTAAACTTCAATAATCAACTCCAGCTCAACAAACCATATTGCAATATCTACGTTAACGTTATTTCTGAAACCAACTGGAAATGTGAGATTCGTATTTTTAAGATACACAGATCTTATAGTGAGGTAATCTCATACAGTACGCTGCTCTTCAACACTAATGTGACGCTAGCTGTCTGCATCGTCGAGCATAGCTATTTTAAATTAACAATAACGGACCGTCTACACAGCAGCGTTAAAAAAATCTTGGAGGTGGGCGTATCTGAAGCTTGAGGATTTTTTGCGAGCAAGGCACGAACAACCAATCACATGAATCTCCCGCCCGCGACATACGAAGCAAAAAAGCCCGAAGTAAACTGGATATAAACTCCCCAAAACAGGCGAAAACCTACCACTGTCTCTGCCACCTCCCTCCATGCCTGGCTCCTCCGGTTTATATCCCGGTAGGTCTGGTCATAAAGCACCGGGTGATTGATTCGCTACCGCTAATTTCTCCTCCATTTTTTGGAATATGAGGAAATGACCTGCGGTATGTCTCTCCCAGCATACACGCCGTTTGATTGGCTAGAGCTTGAACTGTCAGATTTGCGTACACGGGATTTGATTGGCTGACGCTTCCACCTCAGCCTCAAAAGTTGAACATTGTTCAACTTTGAATCCTGAAAATCCTGAAAATCTCCGCTCGCCTGCCCACAATGCAGTTCGGCGAAAAGTGAGGGAAAGTGACGTCACCCCATTCAAAGTGAATGGGCAGAAGCGTTTCAAGATTTTTTTAACGCTGCTGTGTAGACGGTCCGTAACAATGCATACAGTTACCTAACTAGCAAACTAACTAATGTACAAGCATGACCTTATTTGACCAACCTCACCGAGAAGCCTTTTGTTCTACAGTATAATCCTTCTTAATGTTTTACACTTCTCTATTATGTTTTAACTTGTATGCTACGGATAGCATCGTTAGCACAGATGTAGCTTCGTCTCGCTCGTTAGCTGAATTAAAAGACAAGTAAGAAATAAAGTGCTTGAATTTCACTTACCGAATAAACTGCATTCATGGACAGTCTGTTTGAACCGGAGAGCCATAAGATAAGTGCGATATTTCAATGAAGAATACTCCACCAGGCATCAACACAACAAACACGTCTGAGTAGCAGCCTGGAGCTAATGAAGCTAACAGGGCTAACGGGGCTAGCAAAGAGACCACTAGCAGTTTGGTACTTCCGTTTCATTACAATGACTTCCATTACATTACAATGACTTCCGTTACATTACAATGACTTCCGTTACATTACAATGACTTCCGTTACAGCAAGAATCCCCCTCACACACACATAGGTGAAACACATGCACATTCCCTACTGAGAACCTTTCAGTAAAATGTTTTTCAGGAGTGTGTGTGTGTGAGGTTTTCAGTAGTGTGTGTGTGAAGTTAATTTTCAGTAGTGTGTGTGTGAGGTTAATTTTCAGTTGTGTGTGTGTGAGGTTAATTTTCAGTTGTGTGTGTGTGTGAGGTTAATTTTCAGTAGTGTGTGTGTGAGGTGTTCAGTAGTGAATGTGAGAGGATTTCAGTAGTGTGTGTGCAAGGCCCGATGTTTTCAGTAGTGTGTGTGCAAGGTGAGTTTGAATTTTGGCCTACACGGCCCTTCATAGTCAACCTCTATAAACAGTACTGTCTTTTGTCAAAGTGTATCAAAAGGTTACAGGTTCTCCATTCTCCCATTAAAGGGGTCTATTATGCTTTTTGGGGTTTTCCCTTTCCTTTAGTGCAGGGGTATTCAACTAAAATTCAACGAGGTCCAGTTAGAGAAAATCTCCCCATGCAAAGGTCCGGAACATCAAAATGTCTAAGTTGCTTTATGAATTAGTGTGATATATATTGAAGTAGCCTGTAGCTTTATCAACGTCTGCATGTCATCAACAACTGACTGCCAATCAAATAAAGAAAGTACAATTCAAAAACAACAATATTTATTGTCAATTAACATTGAACTATACAGATATACAGTAAAATACTGTGGATATGTGTAATGTTCCTCTCTGGCTGCATTTAAAAATAAAATAGAGAAATAAATAAAATAGCTTTGTTAACCGTTTCACATCATGACTTAACAGTTTCAGACGATTATAGAACAATATCAGTCTTTACACATCATAACAATTGAACAGTTTTAAAGTTTCTCTTTCTTTATTGCAGTCCCTCACTCACTTCTTTTTATTCAGTGCGAGAATTGAGCTTGAGCTTGACCTGCCAGGAGTTTAAATCTGGGCTGAAATTGTGTCAGGGCCCTTCTCATACACACATGCAGGTGCTCATTGGTTAGCCTCGGTTAGCCTGCCCTGGAACGATATTTAGTTTTAATTTTGATCGTGGGGCCTATACTACGAAGCCGGATTTTCGCTTAGCCGGCTGACTTCAGGGAAAACTCGGGCTTTCCGGTCCTACGACGCTGGTTCTCTTTTTAGCGGGCTAGATCTCCATGGTAACTTATGCTGAGCGGCTAACCCCCTCGGGAATTGCCAGGTGTCCTTGGGTGCTTTGAAAGGCGCCCCTAAATAGAATGAATTATCATTATTATTTATTATCTGAAACGACGTAATAACTTTTAAAACTGTTTCCAGTCACTTGCCCCATGCATTCAGCAGCAGCAGGCCATTCACTTTGATTTGATCCCGTTATGAAATGTCATAATTTCGACATTAAAGAAATACTACATAAACGTTATCTTGCACATTTTATCGAACCATCTCCCTTTCTAACTTTCAATATATTTTAAGAGATCTCTCTCTCTGATCTGCGTGCGGGGGCGGGGCCTCACAGACACGCTGTATCTCTCTCGCTCACAGACATGCTGCAGCGCTGTGCAGTGTGCACACAGTTCTGCTGGTAATGACTTTTATGAGGAAACTTTTCCACCAATAATTCCAATAAGTATTCCAAAATGTATTCACTTCAGGTTTACGAAAGTAACTGTAATCAGATTACTCGTTTTTCAAATATAACGCGAGCTGAATACAGTTACTTGATTTTTGTATTCTGCTTTTAATGAGCGCCACGGTCTCTGAACAAATGAGACACACTGGTTCTGTGCTCCCAGTGGGCAGGATGAACATGAATGAGTTTGTCCACTCAGGGTTAAAAGCATGTAATTACACTTTCCTCTTCTTGGAGAGCGCCATGTGTAATTATTTGTCTCTCCCTGTCTGCCCCTGTTCAATCTCCTCTCCGTGTTCTCTGCCTGTATCGCTAATTATTCTCTTCACTCACTTTCCTCTCCGCTTCTCTCTGCCGCTCTCTCGTCTCTTCTTCTGTGTTTCTCTCCCTGTATCGCTCACTCGTCTCTTTCGCCCCCTGTCGGCGGCGGTTAAAATAGAATCACCCCGTCAAAATTGAAATCCCCTATTAATGTATTGATTATAGGTCCGGGTCCGTATAGGTCGGCGTCTGGGTCCGGATCCGGACCGCGGTCCGCCTGTTGCCGACCCCTGCTTTAGTGTGTTAAAGTTTCCTCCAAAGGGAGTTTCTCTCCTACATACGGCAAATTGATATTGATATATAGACTTTGTGTTTGTGTGTTCCATTTTAAAGGCTCTCGATTATGAGGATCATCCAATCCTTGACCTAGGATTAATTGTGAAGAACAAGGTTCCACTCTATGATGGAACCTTTGATACCACATATAAAACCTATCCGATCAAAATCAATGTGAAGAACCAGCCGGAGGGGCCAAGTTTTGACCCCAAAGTCAAAGCTATTCCCGTCTCAGAGGATGGCAGCTCCGTCAACATTAATGAAGTCATTACCCGCTACACTGCAATAGATGAAGACACTGGGAAAGTAGCTGAGAATGTCAGGTCAGTGCATAAACACATACTCAAAATGCTCTGTGGTTAACAGTACTTCAGCTTAGTTTTCTACACTCAATCATGATAACTGACACAGTGTATTCTACTGTAGGTATGCCAAAGGCTCAGACCCTGACAACTGGTTTACCATCGACCCAAAAACAGCTGATATCAAACTGAACAAGATGCCAGATAGAGAATCTCCATACCTGATCAACGGGACGTATTATGCCAAAGTAGTCTGCTTTACAGAAGGTACACTTTTAACACTTTGTTTCTTCTTCAGATCAAGATGCTTTGCATGTTGTTTACCAGCCTTGCCAACAGTTGAGATTAGCATTTTGAAAACGTTCATGAAATCTGTCCTGGAAATAGAAACAAATTAAAGCTGGTTGATTTCTTTATTTCCTTCAACACAGACATGCCTGCTAAAACAGCCACTGGCACCATAGCCATCCAAGTGGAGGATTTCAACGACCACTGCCCCACCCTGACCAGTCAAATCCAGACTCTGTGTATCCCCAATGATGCCGTTATTGTGAATGCTAAAGATGAGGATTTTTCCCCCAACGGATCTCCTTTTACCTTTGAAATAATCCCAGAGGGCACTCAGGGTAAATGGCAGGTGGAGCACTACAATGGTGAGGAGAATACTGTGAATATTTTAAAGTGTTGTACATAGATATTAAAACATTCAAATATACAATTAGAACTAGCTCTGTTAACATTAGTTGGTTTTCCTAACCCTAATCCTGGCATGCATCCTCAACCAGTTGAGCACCAGGATTTAATTGTTTTGTAACTATAATCATTATTATAATCAAAATATTAGAGTAAACACACTTGGCACACTCATCATCTGTTTGTCTCGTGCCTGCAGACACTGCAGCCATCCTCAGGGCCAAGGAGACCGTGTGGCCTGGTTTATACGAGGTGACTTTTGTGGTGAAGGACCAGCAAGGGCAGGCCTGTCCAGAACCAGAGAAAGTGACGGTCCAAGTGTGCACCTGTGAGGAAGGGGTGATGTGTGGAGATCGAGGTAATACCAAGAAAGGAGCAGAGTTAGGACCCGCTGGAATCGGACTGCTGTTCCTTGGTCTGCTGCTGCTACTACGTACGTATGCTTTGATGCTCAAGGGTTATATGATCAGGCGCCTAACAATGTAACTGTGCTAAAGACAATCTTAAATCAGGTTGAGTATAGTTAAGCCAGTTTAACAAGCCATTTACATGGGACAAAAAACAAAAGTCTGACATGAAGGGAATTCATTTGAAGAGATTTTAAGCCCCTCAAAACTTGGCTTTAAATATAAAGTATTTATTCATCATAACTTAATAAGCATTAATTATTTAGGTATGTTTTTAACAAAAAAAACTCAAGATTGTGTAATGAAATTACTCAAACTGAAGCTGATTGAGAAAATAAATCCTTTGAACAGCACCAACAACCACGAGGAACCAGAAGTTGAACCTGTAGTGTGTTATATAGGTTTTGTGCATGTAAATGATCTGCAAAGCTAAGTACATGGTTGCCTTTTATAGGATATAACATTAGCACATATTGGTTTAGGTAATTGATCTAGACCAGGGGTCTCCAACCTTTCTTCATCTGAGAGCTACTTTCAAAAAATTAAAGTGGCCAAGAGCTACTTGCATCACATCGCTTACATTTATTCACATAGCCCTCATCAGTTGAATTAAGCTATACTTACGTGTGAAATTGCAATACCTAAAGCTTATCAAAAATAAGGTCCAAGAAAACGAAGATTTCTCACATATTATTATGGCCCACATAATAAGTACATCACTGAACATTCACATAAGTGTCCTTAATCACCACCTTACAAGCATTTCACTCTTTTGTTAGTGAGATGAATGGCACTGCATCCAGTCCACCATAGAGGTGTATGCTGGACCCACTTAGGTTCACTCTAATAGAGTCATTTAAATGTTCATCAGTCAGTCTTGTTCTGTATTTAGATTTCATTCATGTCAGAAAAAGCTGCTTCACAAAGGTATGTAGAACAGAACCAAATAAAGCAGACATTTTCAGTGCTGCTTGGTGAATGTTCTTATAGTTTTCTGGGTCTACAAGGCTCCAGAAATGTTCTGAGTTTTGCTGAGACTTAAGCTGAACATTATTTTGGAGATCTCCACAGGATTGACACTGAACAGTTGTTCAGCCATCTTTTTCTTCTTCTTCTTTGTCTTGACATTAAATTATAAACCATAATAAATCAACTGTATAGGTCTAGCCTCCCTATATCTGTGTGTGAAAATGGTTCCATCCTCAAAAACAAAAAACTAATACTTCTGCAGTCTAGCTGCAGCTTCTAGCTACAGTCTTCTGTTAAAAAAAAAGACACTGAATGTCTTGAATGTGGCATCACACACAGGACTTGAGTCTGAACACAGCAGACAACAGGAGTATTTACAATAGCATTATAAAAACAAAAATAGTGCATGTGGGTGCACACTTACATTCTCTGTCTTACTGTTACATAAATCCCATGAATGTATGAGATTAAGTTAGCTTCATCATATCTCAATCAGTGATTAAGTGAATAATAAAGTTTCTATCGGGTCACTATCAGCCTGTCACTCATTATTTTCAGGGAGGGGGCGGGGTTTGGAGGAACAGAGGAGACGGTGATCGCGGAAGCTTTCCTCCTGCCTTCACAAACTTTACACAAGTATTTATCAACTGAAAATAGCAAGAGGACATTCATACTCTGCAATCCAAGACTTGATTAAATCCACCAAAAACCTGACATGACGATAACGAGTGTTTTTCAAAAAACACAAATCCCTCCCTGTGTGTCTCTGAGCCTCAGCGACAGGGCCTGATTCAAAGCGGGTCATTCTGCTGTTAGTTCTGGGCTGGTGTTGGTGGAGAAAGCAGACTGCTCCGTGTGTGGTGTCGCTGTGCCGCTGTCACGTCTGTTCCTTGATCTCTGCGTCACCGACCATTTGATATTCGTGTGACAGAAAACATTCTAAAATAAAAAAACGTTATTGTCCAGCCGCGGCCGAAAAATCAATAAGCAACCTTACTACGCGATAATCGATAATCGAGCGGCGAGCTACTGAAAAGCTGCCCGTGAGCTGCCCGCAAGCTACCGGTAGCTCGCGATCGACGTGTTGGAGAGCCCTGATCTAGACAGTGTATTACCTGGTAGGTTAGTGTGCCATGAAAAATAAACTGCATCCTTTTTTGGATAACCCCAAAGCAACACTGCATTCCCCACACCATGTTTAAGTAGCCTTTGAATAACACTTTGTTGTTGTTTTTACAGTTTTTCTTCTGTTGTTGCTCTTCTGCGGATGTGGGGAGGCCGCGGGCTTTACTGAGATGCCTTTCGACACCAAATCTCATCTCATTAACTACCGCACTGAGGGCCAGGGCGAGAACACGGTGAGACCAACATATATACCTTCATACTGGTTGATGCTGTTGAGAGGATGTCTGCTTGAAAGCTAACTTTTGACGCCAGGCAGCTGAATAAGTGTGGACTATGTTATAACATTTGGATCATTGATCTTTTACAGGAGGTGCCGCTACTGAACATACCGCCACAAGTGGATGGAGGAGTTGTGATTGGTGAAGTCCCAAGTCAGCCATCAGGACCTGGGATGTATTCGGACTATTATTTTCAAGGTGACAGCATCGGCTGGGGGACGAGTAACGTTTCAGGATTAGGAACTTGGATTAAGCGTGAAGGATCACAAGTACATCAAGGAATGTACGAGGGAATGGCTCTGCCAGACCATTTCCTGGGACAGTACTACAGTCAGGTGAGAAATCATTATAATATTTCTGTTCTTCACTTGTCATGGACAAATGTTTTGAAAATAAATTAATCTAGATGTGCGTACTTGGAACAGCTCAAATGCTACAACTTCTTATTACAAACTTAAAAAGGTTTGAAAACCATGTTTTCGGGCACCAACAATGTTTTCCAGTAGAACGACAGGCATTAACTTGGTATGTGATGTTATGTGCAGTACATACACATGCCACTTCATCATGGGATTTGTCTCAGTCAATAAATAAGGAAACCGTGGTTATGATTTCTCTTTTGTCTTTAAACAGAAGGTGACGAGTGAAAACGAAAACCTTGGAGGGAAAGACGCTCTTTTAGTTTATGACTACGAGGGTCAGGGCTCCCTTGCTGGCTCAGTGGGCTGCTGCAGCCTCCTGGAATCTGAGAACGACCTGCAGTTTATTGATGACCTCGGTATGAAGTTCAAGACCCTGGCTGAGGTGTGCGGAGGCAAGAAGATCGAAACTGAGGTCAAACCAGCGTTCATTTATCCACCCAGTGCATCCATCCAAACTCCCACCTCAGCTTGCCAGCAGCCAGCCCCTCCACCCAAGCTGCATCAGACCACATCTCAGACAGTGATCAGTGAGACATCTGGAAGTTCTCAGGTTGTGAAGGAGAGCATGGCCACAGCGATAGAAGGGATGACCACGGTGAGAACAGGGATGATCCCAGTGAGCACAGGGATGATCCCAGTGAGCACAGGGATGACCACAGTAAATGAAGGGATGGTGAATCAAGGTCCGATGATCTTGCTACAGCAGCAGCCGCAGCCCGTCTACTACACCACCACCACCCCTGTGCAGATGCAGTACGTCCTCCAGCCACAGGTTCAGAACACCGTGCTGCTGGCGGAGGCACCATCCACCAACCTGCAGGGCATGGTACTGCTCAACGGCTCCCAAACTGGACATGCCCAAGGCGTGGTGGTTCAGGGACAGACCGTGATGTCCAGCGGGCGAGCCCAGGGCCAACGCATGGTGCTGGTGGAGAAGAGCCGGGTCCATGGAAGTGGTGGCAACCTCTCTGGCTCCAAGACCATGATGGTGGTGGAGGGAAAAGCCCCTAAAGGGACAATAGAAGGGCTTAAAAGTAGCCAGACCCACTTTATGCACGGGGGAACTCTGCAGTCAGGGGTTTTTTCAGGATCTCTGGTGGTCGGAGGGCAAAGCAACAGAGGGCAGCTGGTCAAGGAAGCAGGATGTCTGTCCCTGAAAAGAGACATCTCTGGCTCTCAGAGCAACGTGGTGACTTCCTCTACCACTAGAGTGAACAAAACCCCCACCTACCACAAGGTGGTGGTACAGGAGACAAGAGAAATTCACTGAATGAGAGATCGTCCGGACTAGAGAGGTTCCTTCCAGTGAGGCTGATATAAGACTGTTCCTCTGGCCTGGTCTAGGTGGTGATGGGATGCTTGTGGGACTAACATAATGCAAGTCAGGCAATTGGACTGTTCCTATGCCTGGTCTAGGTGGTGATGGGATGCTTGTGGGACTACAATAATGCAAGTCAGGCAATTGGACTGTTCCTATGCCTGGTCCAGGTGGTGATGGGATGCTTGTGGGACTACAATAATGCAAGAGAACTAATGTGAGACAGTTAATGGAAAAGGAGCATGTTTCCTATATTCCATTGCAGACTCCATTCTAAAACAGAGTCAACCCAAAGAAAAGTCAACATTGAAGTAAATGAACAATACTCCAAACAGGGAAAATAAATAAACAAAATGTAAACAATAAAGTTGAATGATAACAATGCCAAGCTGACCCTCCGAAAAAATCCCAGCAGACCTATGTGATGACTGTTGCCTTCTTTTTCTGTACCTCTCAGAGACAAATTATGTACATACAGAATCACGTTTGGTATAATCAGTAAATCCTTAAGTTGTTTAATGGTGTTTGTTTTATGCTGTCAGTTGTTTTGCGCTAATAAAAAAAGACATAAAAATCCAACGGAATTCGAACGTGGTACTGTAATAGGATGCCACCGTTGCAACAAGTCAGTTTGTGACATTTCTTCTCTCCTAGATATTCCACGATCAACTGTAAGTGGTATTATTGCAAAGTGGAAACGTTTAGGATCCACAGCAACTCAGCCACAACACTTCGTGGATCCTAAACGTTCGCCGAATGCTGAGGCGCATAGTGCGTAAAAGTGGCCAAAGCTCTGCTGACTCAATAACTGCAGAGTTCCAAACCAGTTAGAGTTAGGACCCGCTGGAATCGGACTGCTGTTCCTTGGTCTGCTGCTGCTACTAAGTATATAGTAGAGGAACAAACCCCCCAAAAAGGCTTTAGTTATCGAGATACCCCTACCCGAGGTAGAACAAAGCACAACCATGTTTTTTCATTACTTTAATATGTCTAGTTTATGAAACGGATGGTTGTATACAAATATTTTACTGCAAAATTATTATTTTTGGTTAATGTTTGGAACTTTCCCATAACCGAAAATAGTGAAAATGTGGGCTCCTCTGAAAGGGGCCGTGTTGGCCTTATCCCATGTGTCTCTGCTCTGGAATTAATTATCAGAATGTCACCAAATTTGGCCTAAATGTTCACAGAGAGGTAAGGCATACAATACAGCAAAAGATTATATCAATACCTTTTACCATCTTTGTAATATTAACACTTAAACACACATAAATCATAGGCGGAAATGGAATAGGACATTTCAAATGCAAAAGGTATGTTTATGCTTTTCTGTCATTTTTAAACTAAAGAGTCCAATCACCCAAAAATGTCATTTATATGTACCAGAGACTCTTATCTTTTCATAAAAATAGTTTTTTTTACTAATCACTTCACCCTCTGCTGTCACCAGCCTCTAACAGCTAACCAGTGCAGCCAAAATGGCTGTCAGAATGGGGCCCTGTGGGTGTACCTGTGTGAAGAGAAGGACACAAAGCATAGATTAAGAGATGAACAAATATTATATACCTACATATTATATATAATAATGTTTTTTATTATAATCATTATTATATATATGCTTTATATATCAAACCTTTCCATTCCAAACACAGTTTTTGTTTGTATTTTACATAATCTTTGAATAACACAGTTGATACTGTAGATACTGTGACCCCATGAGCTAACATGTTTCATGGCATAATATTTTCACATGATTTAAAGGTCTCCTATCATGCAAAATTCACTTTTTTATGTCTTTTATACACAAATATGTGTCCCCGGTGTGTCAGGGAACTCACAAAGTGTCAGAAAACAAAACCCTCTCTTTTCCTCCGTACCCAAATCTCTAAAAAACGGGAGAACAACGGAGCTGATCCAGATTTGCTGCCGATATGACGTAATATCTGAAATGTGGACTGGCTTTACACCCACGGCCCTATCAGAAAGTTGCTATCAGAAAATGTTTACATTAGCAAGCATCGCTAACACTCAGAGCTAACCTGTACTGGAGAGAGTATGTGTAAAAAAGCAGGAAATAAAAGGAACTCACCTTGTGATAAACCCGCAAGAGAAAAATAATTTGAGCTCCATACTCTTTCAGAAATAATCCTTGATGTGGTTTTGAAGATGATATGGTGTTTCATCACAGCAGCATTTAGCTGAGTATCTCGGTAGAATTCTGAGCAGGCATAAACTCCCCCTCCTCTTTTCTTTTTTTCAGGACCCAGAATCAGCTCTTTTCTAATGCTGCGTTCACACCGGACGCGCTGCGAATATTCGCTTCACTCTTATCGCATTGCTCTAAACCAGGGCTCTCCAACACGTCGATGTAGCTCGCGGGCAGCTTTTCAGTAGCTCGCCGCTCGATTATATGAAAATAATGAGTGACAGTCTGATAGTGACCCGATAGAAACTTTATTATTCACTTAATCACTGATTGAGATGAGGAAGCTAACTTAATCTCATACATTCATGGGATTTATGTAACAGTAAGACAGAGAATGTAAGTTTGCATCCACATGCACTATTTTTGTTTTTATAATGCTGTTGTAAATACTCCTGTTGTCTGCTGTGTTCAGACTTAAGTCCTGTGTGTGATGCCACATTCAAGACATTCACTGTCTTTTTTTTTTAACAGAAGACCGTTGCTAGAAGCTGCAGCTAGACTGCAGAAGTATTCGTTTTTTGTTTTTGAGGATGGAACAATTTCACACACAGATATAGGGAGGCTAGACCTATACAATTGATTTATTATGGTTTATAATTTAATGTCAACACGAAGAAGAAGAAGAAAAAGATGGCTGACCAACTGTTCAGTGTCAATCCTGTGGAGATCTCCAAAATAATGTTCAGCTTAAGTCTCAGCAAAACTCACAACATTTCTGGAGCCTTGTAGACCCAGAAAACTATAAGAACATTCACCAAGCAGCACTGAAAATGTCTGCTTTATTTGGTTCTGTTCTACATACCTTTGTGAAGCAGCTTTTTCTGACATGAATGTCATGAAATCTAAATACAGAACAAGACTGACAGATGAACATTTAAATTACTCTATTAGAGTGCACCTAAGTGGGTACACTCCAGCATACACCGTGTACAAAAGTAGCTTAAAGGGGACCTATCATGCAAAATGCACTTTTGTACATCTTTTATACATGAATATGTGTCCCCGGTGTTCCAGGGAACTCACCAAGTGTCAGAAAACACAACCCTCTCTATTTTCCTCCATACCCAAATCTCTAAAAAAGGGGCTGCAACGGATCTGATAAAAACTGATCCAGATTTGAACACTGTCCTGACGTCAGGACGGTTGCGCTACGGCTATTAGGCCAACTCTCCACCTATCAGGGGAATGTGGGGTTGGGCCACGGCCGGCCATTGCCGCTCGAAAGCGCTGGAGACGCTGTAGTACATATGCCAGGCCTGTAAGTGGCGCTGTAGTCTGCCACAAAAGCAGCGAAGAAGACTTCTCGCACATGGTTACCATGGTTACCCTTCTGTTTATTCTCCGCTGTTTTTTTCTCCCTCCCCGAGGCAAGCGTTTGCTCCTGCTGCTTTAATTCAATGCAATCCCTCCCCGTCGAGGCAAGCACTGTAATTCTCTCCGGTTAGTCCACCAGCAGATGACAAACACCCACCTCTCCGCCTCTTCCAAGGAACGAGGGGACCGTGCGGCAGAGTTTCAGTTAAAAGATGTCCGTTAAAGTTTAAATCTTCCGGACAAAATTAGAAAAGTGCCGGTCAAAGGTCTTCTTTGTTATTTATTGAGCTTTAAAACAAATGAATAACGACTCTATATAATAATAGGCTATAATAAAACACGGAGGACGGAAATCTATTTTTCTCCCCCTCTTCTGACTTGATCAGAGCGCGCTCCCCTCTCCTGCAGGGGGGCGTGGTCAGCTGCAGCTCACAGAATCAGCCCCCTGCAAAAACAGGGCTGGAGAACAGCAAATAGAGCGAAATGAGGCATGGCTAAAATGCATGATCTGTTTGGTATTTTGAAAACAGAAACGTATAAATATACCTTATATAGGTATGGCCCTACAATATATAATTTAAATATAGCATGATAGGTCCACTTTAATTCAACTGATGAGGGCTATGTGAATAAATGTAAGCGATGTGATGCAAGTAGCTCTTGGCCACTTTCATTTTTTCAACGTAGCTCTCAGATGAAGAAAGGTTGGAGACCCCTGCTCTAAACGCTCGAGTTTCACCGCGGCTGTCAGCTGTGTTTACTTGCATCATTCAAACAAGACGCGCTGGATAGGGGGCTACAACTACAACAAAATGAACATATTTTACTGTGATTTAATTGTAATACACGTTTCAAAATGATAACGAAGTAACAACATACTGATTACGTTAGTAAAAACCATGAATGAACAGTGGCGTTTTCTCCTGGAGGCCAAGGGAAGCCAGGCTTCCCCTGTTTTTTCGGATTGTAGTTATAATTTTAATAAATAAATAAAAACACTTTGTTTAGTTTCGGAAATTCTTCTTCGCGTGTGTTGCTGCCGGCCCATCTCTCCCCCATTCTCATTGAGTATTTTACAAAGAGTTAAACAGCGCCCCTCTAGATGTTATGGTAAAACAGTAGATTGCACTCTCTGTTGCGAGAGGAGGCCAGCCGAAATTGGCTTCCCTTGGTGAAAAGAAATTGAGGGATTGACCAATCAGACAAGGCTCACGTCATGCCCCTGCCAACCTGTGATTAGTCAGAGCCATGCCAAGGGAAGCCAGAGGCGGCTGGCTTCCCTTGCCTCACAATCCAATCAAATCGCATCAACTTAGTGGTGCAGTGACGCGTCCTAAAACCCGGAAGTAAGCTGCGCTCGCGTTCCCTCTACAAAAAAGCAATGGGATTTCTCCATAGGATTTTGGAAAAGAGCTGGAAATAAGGTCTGTGGAAAACGAACCTGTTAGATAAATGCACGTTTTGTTCAGCCGGATAATATCCACATGTCTACTCTACTTTTATAATTTTCGAATCATAAATCTAATCGATAGATAGATAGCGTCACTGCACCACTCTCACCGCCGTTAGAAAGTAGCAAGCAACTGAAGCAAGTGCAATTATGGAGGATGGAGATTTGGAGTATTTAATCAAAAATAATTGTACTAAACTTCCGCTACAGCAGCAACTAAAATTAAATCTGATGACAGGCCAATGCCCAAACTGGAGCTGTGTACAGCGAGGAAAAAAGGAGCGAATCGGACGTAAAACGTTAAAGGTCTCCTGATTTAGTTTGTGAATGAATGCTTATTAGAGTTTCGGCTGGAGAGTGCGTGCGGACCTGTCGGTTAGAAAGCAGGCGTGTGTAAGTCCTGCATCTGTATGATACAAATGTGTGTAAAATGATATCGGGCGCTGTAATCACTCATCTGGTTACAGCGTTACATTGACCATTCAACGTCAGTGACGGCAGGCTGAGATCCTCACCGCTGATTGGCTACCGCGTGATCGCGTCACGCGAATTTGACGCTCGAGTTTGACGCTCGAGCGGTTGTCGTGGCCCCCTCCAATCGCGCCGCGG